TCTTCTCCCACTCTCCTCCTTTCCCTCAAGGAAGGAAAAAAAATTGTCAGGTATCGTACCTATGTAATTTTATTTCATCCCACACGTCTCCTACTATTGGTCTTTCTTCTTCGAGGAGGCCTAGGGGCAATTTATGATCTTTTCTATCGTCTCTATTTGACTTAAAGACGTCAATTCCGTGGTTTAGTGCCAATAGATCTGTTCAGGTATTTTTTCCATTGAATTAAATTATCAACCCTAGTTATCGCTATTCTTCCTCTCCTTTTGTTTTACAATCATCGTTTTTAGGTCTAGATTTACGTATAGTACTTTATCTATATAGAGCCGACAGAACAAAACGTTCCAAGGGGGGAAAAAAAGGTTAGAATTAAAGTAAGTGACAATGATGCAGAGATACGATACGACACCTATCCCTAAGAAGGCGCATGGTCTTGTAGAACCTGATACGCTACTGCTAAACACTTTAAGGGATCGTGTGCGTACGCTTGGCGAGATGATTCTGCAGATCACCGATACTGCACTGTCCGAGGCCGAGGCCCTTTCTCGCGAGATCAGCTCTTCCACAAGCCGAAGTGCATATAGCCCTCTGAACAATCGAATAAATCGAAATGTCCTGAATACGGTTGTTAAATCGAGTCGTGAGAGTGGTAAAATAGTAGTTTCTGTTTCTATCGTCAACACACGCGAGCCGAGCTTGGTTGCCTCAGACAGCAGGCGGATGGCCGAGCAAAGCCTCTCGCGGCCTCCAACCGCTCGATCGAAACACAAGTCGATTAACAGCCTGCGAAGCAGCGTCGTTCAATCGTCCGAAAGCAAAGAATCCTCCTGCGTAGGGGTTCGCCATGCCAACCGCGCGGACGACAAACCCTGGCGGCAGAAATCCGCCCGACCTCGCTCGGCTCGTCTAAAAATGATCGAACATCGGCCCAATTCGGCCCTAAAAGAGACCCCGATTTCCCACCCTGCGGGGATTGATGCGGTGGTGCGGAAAGGCATTTTGTGGGATGACGAGGCCATTGAGCAGTTTTTGAAGGACAAACCCACGGCGGGGGACTATCAGGAGGTCATCCGACGCCCCAAGCCCTCCAATCCCAAAAATAGGTCCCACATGGATGAAGGCGCCTTAAAGTCCACCCATTCGCTTGATCCGCGAGCCCCGAATGGTGAGGGCGGTGCCGGTGAGCCGTTTCGATGCCGCGCGCCCGTTTACGATAAGTCCTACGAGGTCTATGAGGATTCCGCCCCCAAGCGGACATCCAACAAGGATAGCGCCGACCAAGGCGGGTTGACCCTTTCATCCAAATCGTCTTTCCACGGGCGGCAAGAGAAGGCTTCCCATGAACGCCAAGCCCCAAGCGGCGCGGTGGGAAGGCATCGATCCTGCCGGGTGGTAATTGAAACCCTTTCTGGGGTTTACCACCTTCCCGGGGCGATTTTGACCCACCAGACGCTCACCGACGCGGAGGTGGAGGCGACGCTGCTGAAATTCGAGCACCCAACCGAGCCCGGGGCCTTGAGTTTGAGCACCAGTTCGCATCCGCAGATGTGGTCCTTGCCCATCCACGAGGACCCCACCGCCGCGAACTCGCCGCTTTCGCACAATCGATCCAAAAAGGATCCCATCGTGAGTTTGGACTCCGCCCGAGCGCTTTGGGGATCCCGCGAGGCGCCTTTGTCCACCCCGGCGGCCTCCTCGCTTGGTCCGGAATCGAGCCCGCGCGTGATGGAACTTCGCCCGGTTTTGGTTGGGGAGCCCTGCCCCGTCCAGCGCGTTTTAGGGAGAAAGCCCCACAGCTCGGAGGGCTCCAAGGTTTGTGTAAACCTGCCGTAAAATTTAAACAAAAAAAAATGGAGGGAAATGTTGGTGTTAGGATGGGATTGCGCAGAGGAATTCAGATCATACTTTTCTCTGTTTTATACAGGGGAAGATGAAGGAAGGGAAAGTCGAAGAGAAGTTGCCCCCTGAGGAGAATTTGCTCTTTATATTAGACAAGGCAAGGGGGCTTTTGAACGGAGTAGAGAATAATGTTCCTACAAAAGTGGGTGAGTGGCTTGTGGTATAATATGGTTTTCCATTACCTTTTTCTTTTGTGTATTTTTATCATCTAGCATGTACCATTAACATTATTTTTTTTTAGCATTGTGTCAAATGATATGGTGTAAAAAAAAAACACCATATAATGAAAATAAATCATTGAAAAAGAACTCAAGTTAATAGAATTGGGTGTGATATTTAAAATTCTTTATATCTTTGGTTATTTGTCGTATATTGAAAAGAATATAGTCTAAAAAATATATTTTCCTATTCTAAATTACGATGAACAAAGATATGATCTATATATATATATATACAAATAAATACTTGGACAAATGTAAATTTCTTTACTTTCTTTTTTATTGTCAATTGAATGTAAATAGACAATATTTTTTATTTTTTGTCCATTTATTTAGAAATTTTCCTCAATCAGTTCAAGTACGTTTTTCGTTAATAAAATATTTAATTTCCACATGTGTTTCTTCTGTAGCGCTATTTCTGACTTTGATTTGGAAGTTTGTCATTTGAATTTGAAAAGCAAAGAGTTAGGGGTTTCTCATATCTTTGAATATGTCAAAATATATTGTCAAACTTAAGTTCTCTTTTAAAAGACGTGGAATATAAATTTTGAAAGTACCATTAGGCCCAATAAATGAATTAAAAACAGATGTATTCTTGTTTGCTTTCCAATATTCCGCATAAAGGTGATAATAAAATATCTTTTCAAAAATTGATTGCTTTTCCTTGCAATTAAATTTTCAAACTCAATTATAGTTCTAATAAGCATTCAACTAATTGTTTATACCCTTTCTCCCAAAAATTCAAATTTTTATGACATTTTTTTTTGTTTCCTTGATTAACCGTATCCATTCAAATGGTGATCTCGACACATTTTAGCTAAATCTGGATAAAACGATGTCTAAAATAGATCAGTAGGGATACATATATCTATATATATATATCGATATATATATAGAGATAGCATTTTTATTACTACTGAATGGTATTATTTTACTCGTATCTCTATTCTCTTAACACTAATGAATACTGTTCTTTTCTTAACTTCATCAACCCCAGTGATGTCATGTGGGCGGTGTAATGTTGGGTGAAATGATGTTGTTTTTTTCACGATGGAGGGAGGGGAGGAGGAGGAGGAGGCGCACGGGACTCTTTGATTTGGGCTTCTCCCACGATGTCTTTCTTTTTCCTTTTTTTTTATATGTCTTTTTACACCCCCGGAGGTGCATTCAAGGTGTCAAGGGCTCCCATCCACCACCTCCTTCAACCCATCCACAGGCCGTGAGAAAGCAAAGGGAGGAGAGAGGGAGGGAGGGGGGGAGGGGAGCGAAAAAAAAAAAGCAAAGAAAAGATAACAACAAAGAAGTAAAATCCCCCCCAGGTCATCCACCGCGATGGGTTATCGGTGGTGGGGGATTTTGCGCCCTGGGGAAATGGCCCTTCCGGCGCTCCTCGCGGCCCGGCGTGGGGTGAAGCTGCTGAACCCGATTGGCAAGCAGGGCAGCCAGCACTACGGCCTGGACCCGCAGCTCAAGGCCGGCCGGGACGTCCACCTCAAACACACGGAGTTTTACGACGGCTACACCGACGACTTTGGGGTGTTTAAAGAAGGCCCCCCGGTGGCCCTGCGGCTGGAGTACGTGCGCTCGCCGGACCACGGCTTCTCCCAGCAGCTCCTGCAGAAGGAGGTGTGGTCGCCTTTCCAGGTCGACGCCGGGCTCGCCACCTTTAGCCCGCTCTACTACGACTGGCAGGGCTTTTCCAGCCGGGATTACTGGGGCCACCGCCGCGGGACGAACCCGGGGAGCAAAGTCGTTATGGGCCACTACCGCCGCGATGAGGAGCGGGCGTGGGGCCACCGCGTGATGGTGAACCACAAGCCCCCCAAGCGGCTGCCGAAGTGGCTCGCCTGCATCCTCCACCTCCCGCGGCGAGGGAAGTTTTTGGGCTTTTTTCTCTACGCCAACGGCGCCTACGTGGCGGAGCTGCTGACCTACAAACAACTCCCCCGCATCGTCTACAACCGCCCGTTTCAAGGGTGTTTGCCGACCATCGGGCAAACGGTCGCGCTGGCGGAGGTCACCTACGGCAAGGAGCTCCACTCGGTTGAGATGTACCCCGGGCATGGGGGGGTGTTCTGCCGCGCGAGCGGGACCGCCGCGGTGGTGCTGCGCGGCTCCGAGCCCAATCTCGTCCCGATCCTCCTGCCCTCGAAGGAAATTCGGCTTTTTGATTCGTCCTGCCACGCCGTTTTCGGCCGCCGCGCCGGGGTCATGTACCGGCAGCGGCGGCTTTACGGCAGCCGCGACGTCGAGGCCCACCGCCCGCACCGCCCGAAGGTCCACGCGAAGTCCAAACGCGTCTCCAGCCACCCCGCCGGCGGCGGAAACGGCGGGACGACGAATTTGTTGGTCCCGCTGGACTGGCGAATCCACCCGCGGAATTGCGTGCGCTCGAAGTTCTGGCTCTCCGGCTATATTATTCGAGGCCGGCAGTACAACAAACACCACGCCGTCGCGGATATTAAATCCAAAACCTATGGCTGGGCCAATCGCGATCCGGTCTATCGCTGAGGGAAAGAGCTCGGAGGGGGGGGGGGAATATCGTTTTTGGTATTTTTGCGTCGTGGATTGGTTTCCATTTCCGATGATTTATCGTTCCGGTAGCGACTTGTAATTGAAATTAACATCTCTGATTACCCCATGGATCTTATTGTGAACTCGATGGATGTCAAATGAAAGGCTGGGCGGGTGACTTTGTAAAAAATATCTAAACACGGAAAATGCGTCTTTCACTTATCGAAGTTTGTTAGAATTATTGGCCTTTTTTTTTTTTGTGCATCTTACGACCTCCTCGCCTTATGGTACCGACCTCCACGCTTTCAGGCATCCTTTCACTTCTTCCATTCCTATTTTTGTTGTTATTGTCACCCATCCTAATGGGGTGGGATTCTGTCCGTTTTGTAGTCCGTTTTCATACCACGTACACCATCCCATAGTGACGCACCGATAGTGAAAGTCGTATTCCCTGCTTTCATCGTTCTTGCGATTATTATTATTATATTTATTAGTAGTACTAGTAGTATTCTTATTATTCACAAAGCACACCTTACTTACCTTATCTTTCCCCCTCCCCCCTTTTTAACCCCCCCACGAGGGCGATTTCGCGCGATGTTTCGTCTTCCGCTGACAACCCACGCCAGTCTTTGCGGGCTCCGGGGCCTTGGCCGGCAGGGCTTCACGATCCTCCCGGCCCTGACCTACCCCGCCGAGCTCCCCACGCTGTCGTTTGACTACAAAAAAGGCATCCCGCCGGTGATTTCCCCCCGCCAGATCGAGCTCCACTACGGCAAGCACCACAAGGCCTACGTGGACAAGCTCAACACCCTGGGGAAAGGTGAGGAAGGGGCCACCATCGAGGCGATCATCCGCTCCACCCACGGCAAGATCGACAAGAAAGTGATGTATAATCAGGCCGCCCAGCACTTCAATCATAGTTTTTTGTGGAATTGCCTCACCCCGGGCGGCACCGCGATGCCGACGCGGCTGGCGGACGCGATCGCCCAAAAATTCGGCACGGTCGATGCCTTCAAGGAGGAGATGCAGACCGCCGCGGTGAATAATTTCGGCTCCGGGTGGACCTGGCTTTGCGTGTGCGCCGCCTCCAAAGAGCTGGTGATTGTGAATACGAGCAATGCGGAATGCCCGATTACGACGAACCTCCACCCGATCTTCACGGTTGACATCTGGGAGCACGCCTACTACAAAGATTTCGAGAATCGCCGCCCGGATTATCTCAAAGAGCAGTGGAAAATCGTGAACTGGGAGTACGTCGATCAGGCCTACGCAAAGGCGATGGGCCACACCGAGTAAATAAGGAAGAGTCACCTGTTATGATAAAACGAATGTATTACAATGTTTTAGGGAACCAAGAGATGTATGCTGGAGGGAATTACTAATACAGCTATTAGCATTTTTCTTACCTATGAAGAAAAAAGAGAACGGTATAGCTTTTAAAAGAAAAATACAAACATCTAAGTCTTTAGTCCAATTATTACTTTGTGGAATGTGTTTGACTTGTTCACAGTATTTCTAATATTTCGTTTTTTTTTTCGAGTAATCTCTACAAAGTAACTTCGCTTACGCTTTCTTATTGCTACTCGTTCGAGGTCAGTTTTGTGTTCTTTGGTTATTTAATTGGGTGAGAAAGTCATATACATTTAATATAAAAAGTTATCCGCTAAGGGTGTACTACTTCGGATATTTTATCACCAGCGCTATCAATTATACGTATTGTGATGCCCTCTTTCTTATATGTCAAACTTATTATTATTATGCTAACATACTCTTATATTTTAATATTTGTTTATATGCTCAACGTGTAATCCAAAGAAGATAACCCTCCCAAAATGTACGCATCGAGCTTAAGGAATCACTATTCGGAATTGTATCTCTTTTTTTCTGTTCCCCATTGGACTTCTTATGCGAATGCGTGTTTGGGCTGAAAACCCCATTCACGGGCTTTGCGTTGCTTATGGTTCCTATTTTGACCCTGCTATTGTCTATTTTTCCACCTCAAGGATCCTAATTAATCCCTTCACGCCACTATCAAAGCCCTAGTGGTTGTTGTGGTTGTGGTAGTAGTAGTAGTTGTTCTTTTTTCACTTGTTTTGTGTGTAGGTGTGGTGTGGACCGAGCCTATTGCGCGACTTTCGCCTTTTTCTTTATTATTCGGCTTTCCTTTTCGACCCCATGCAGGCCCAAATGGTAGCCGGGAGGGCGATTGAGCAGTTCTGCAAGAAGGAGTTCGCCAACCTCACGCTGGGCCAGTGCTGGGAGGTCTGCTATGATCGCAATTTATCCCGCGCCGAGCTCGCCTCCGGCGAGGTGGCGGAGGCCAAAGTCAGCAAAATGGACGCCTGCGCGCGGAAGTGCGTCTCGCGGAACTTCGAGGTGATGCGGTTGATCATGGAGAGCCGCGAAACGCGTGAGAAGGAGGCGATTCAGGCCATGGGAGTGTAGCCGGGGGTGGGTTAACGATATCGGAACGTGAACCACGCGGCCTACGGATCCCAAAGATCCTCAAACACGGTGCGAACCCTTGAGAACGTTGCAGGAACTTGGGTTTAATGCAAGGAACAGGGACGTGGTTGTTTATATTGTATCACGGTATCCTCCTTTTGAGATGATTGGACTTTTTTTTTATTATTTATCACGGTGCTACGATAAATCTTCACTAATTTTACCCCTAAACGAGAACATTACTAAACATATACGTCCTCTTCCAATAATATATACGCGTATGTTTTTACGCTGGCAATATGATTGATGGGCACCGCCATGTTGATTTATTATTTCTTTTTTTCGCATAGTTGACGTCATTTCAAGGGAAATGCTGTGATCGGCACCTCCCACCCACACACAAAAGGAGGCGTCGAGAAAGGAAGGATGTTCCCAAACAAACGAAAAAAAGTGGAAGCTATTTATTCGGTATCGAATAGTTCTATCGTTTTATTATTATTATTGTTATTGGGCCTTCAAACATAGGTCTCTTTTTGTGGTGGGGGTGGACTCCGAAGGTTCTATTTCCTCCATCACGGCCGTCCGCTCTCCTATCGTGCCGCCGCGGGCTGGACCTCCTCCGATTCGTTCAAATTCCATGACCCGATCCCTAAAACCGCGCGTCTTTGAATACTTCGAACGGCAAATCCTCGCCGGGGATTGGCGGGCCTGTTTATCAGGCCTCGAGGCGTGGATTCGCACGGGCAACGACCTCACGCCGCTCCCGTACCGCGCCCTGATCCCTTTTGTGGTGGCCAACGGGGGCTGGGGGGCCCTTTACGCGATGCAGCCCCGCCTACTGCCCACCTCGTGGCGGATTCCGCCTTTTCGCGATCGCCCCGACGACATTTCGCCCGCCCGCGAACCCGCCGCGGTCCTTCCCAGGGCCCGATGGGGGGTCGAATCGGCCGATTTCGCGTCCTCCAACGCCGCGTCGGCGTCTTTTTCGCCTTCGATGGACGGGCCGAAATCAACGGCGGGGGGCGAACGAAGGACGCCGAACGCCGACGCGACCGTCCGCGCGCTGCTCGATCTGCTCGCCAAAGACGAGAAAAGGGCCGGGAGGGCGCCGGAGGGGGGTCCGACGACCCGCGAAGCCCCGCCCGGCCCTCCGAGGGCTTTTCCAGGCGCCGAGGGCGACGCGATGGCGGAAAAATGGCGCGAACGCCTCGGGGCGTTGGTTCGGCGAACGACCTCCGAGGCCTCCCCCGGCGTGCGAAAAAAGAAAAGGCGAATTCACGCCGCACCCCGCCCTTTTGCTCGGCCCACGAACGAATTCACCGACGTGGGCGATAGTAAAGACGAGGCGGGGGATGTGGTGGGGGTGTTGATGGAGGCGGCGATCACGGCCTGCGGGTTGGGCGAGGCCCCGGAAGGCGCCGCGTCGGCTTCGGTGGCTTTCCAGGCCCCGTTTTCGCCCTCCTCGGGCGGGACGGATTCGCCCTCCCACGACGATGCGGGTCGCCGCGTCAGGCCCCCCCCGGAGGTTTTGAATGATGGGCAACGAAGTCTCGTGGAGCTTGTGTACTGCGCGGCCGCGAATGAGATCGCCCTTCCGGCGCCCACGATCCAGCGGGCGTTGGTTCTATTCGCGCGGTGGCTAAACTCCCCCAACGACGACGCGACGGGTGAAGACGAAAGGGCGAAACATTTGTCTGTGGAAGGCCGTCTACCGAAGGTATCCTCCGACCCGCCCGAGGCGCCTTCGGGCGATGCCCTGCACACCGCGTACGACCTGCTCGCCGCCTATGCCGTGATCACCCCCCATAGCCCACTCCCAGGCCAATCGCCGCGCGATTTTAAAGCGAAAAGGACTGCGGGGGATTTCCCAGACAACCCCCCGTGCCATTCCAAAGCGGAAACGACTGCGGAGGATTTCATAGACAACCCCCCGCGCGATTTCATAGCGGAAACGACTTTGAGCGATATCCCAGACAATCCCCCGTGCCATTCCAAAGCAAAAATGACTGCGGGGGATTTCCCAGACAATCCCCCGTGCGAGTTCAAACCCCGCGCGGACGACGCGGAGGCCCAGGCGCGCCTATCCCGCGCGCTGGCCCTGGCCGCGGGGTGGGATCTCGCCTGGGCGCTCTGCCGGCGGCCCGGGGTGCGGCTTCTCTGGCCGCACTACGCCCGGCTCCTCGGCCTTCTCCGCCGGGCCCAGGGGGAACTCCCCGCGGGGCTTCCCCCGAAAGCCGCCTGGGCGGCCCTGGAGGGATGGCTGGCCGCCCTCCGCGCGGACCGGCTCGTCCCCAGCCGGGCCGCGTTGGCGGAGTGTTTGGCGCTTCTTTCGCCGCCGC